TACTTTTTGGTGAATCCCCGGTTAATCGATTCTACTTGAAAATATATTTTTTTAATCTTAGAAACGTATCAATTTTAAGGGTTGTGTTAAGTATTAAAATCATGCGTCAAAAACATTCTGTCTATATATTATATATTCTCTAGAAACTTGGAAATCCCATTCATAGACGTTAATTTACCGGTACTTAAAAAAAAAAACATAGTTATTTGACGTAGAAATAATTTCCTTAAAACGTCACAAAATGTAATTGCTACCGGTGAACCCTATAAATAATTCATTGGAGTATTACCAGTTAAAGATTTAATTAATGAATTTGATTTAAAAAAGAAAATATATCATAACTCCTATTAATTATAACGGATTTTGGGATTTCCTACTTTCGCGGTTAGTGAGGCTGTATCTCAATTTTTCAAGGCTCGTCTGGAACTTCCGGCCGACATACCTCCTTTTTGTTATTATTTTCTATACAAGTTATAATTCACGGTCATTTAGGTTGCGATATCGTGATTTTTATTAGGTGCTAAAAGTATAGAACTTTTCTTTTTTTTGTGAGAGGATATTACGCTATTAAGGACAATAAATTATATCAAGGTTTTCACGCACTAATATTTTGGGTATATATTCGCTATACTTGGCGCGTGTTGCGATAATTTTTTTTATAATTCGAAATTTCTGAGTTTGTCAACAATTATATCCAACTTTAGATAATTGTTGGAAGGAAATTGCAAAACTATAATTAATTTTTAGTTGATCAGTGAACCGAACTACGATTGATTTTACGTCGTAGTTAATATATAATGTATGCCATTACAGAAACATTGCGTGGAAAAGTTCTGAATTGATTAACAGTAATTATCATTATTACTATGACACTATCTATTAAACAAAACGTGTTCGATTTTTAATATCGCAATCGATAAAATATTTACGACACTTATATCGGATTGTTTCAAGTACCACCACACCCACAACGATAACAAATCTGGTTGAAGGTCAAGGGTGTAATCATTCTAATAGATAATAAATTAAATATAAAACAGATGAGATAAACTTTTTATTTTTTAAATCAAAAAAATTTATATTTATTTTCTTTTATTTTTAATTTCTTTTATCTAATTTTTTTAAATTTCTTTTAAAAGTTTAATGAAAGATTTCTTTTGTGGATTTTTGTGATTTGCGCTTCGTTAGTTTCCGTTCTAAACGAATGTTAACTGAACCGAAAATGAACTTTTTTTCCGCGCGCGATTTTTCACCTCTTCGGCGTCAACGGTCCCGATTTGGTAAATACCAATGGGATACCACGTGGTATGGTAGTGTTATTTGTACTTTCAAACGGACGGGATTACATCGAGAAGAGAAGCTGATGAAGTCATGTGGTGCTGCCTCAAGGTAAGTAACGCTTTTACTTTTCGTAATAATTTAAGATAATATTATTTAGAGGTAATTATTTCTTTTGCTTATTAAGGTCAATTAATGGAAAACCTTTGTGGTGATAATATTTGTTTATTTATAACTTGTTAAAGCACAATTTGTTATTAATGAGACTCTTTAAATGGATTTAAATTGTTGTGTTTTTAAAAAATTAATTGTTTTGTAGGCAACATAATTGACTCACATGCATTGTTGGTTGCATATACACAGCTTAATTAGAAATTTCCAAACTATTATTCGATTTAATAATAATCGCATTAATATTATGTTATTCTTGTTTTCTTATAATACATTTTGTGGGGAGAATTGGGTCTTAATACCTGAATGACATCTTTGGTTCAACGCCCCTACTGAAAACGATATACAAATTCAAGAAATAGTCAGAATTAACAATTTGTTGTGTAACAATTGAAGTTTTGCACAAAAAGATAACTAAACATTACTATTTGGAATGAAACAAATCAGAACTTAATAAAATGTTACATCTCCAAGATAGCTTGAGTTCGCCATTGGTGCTAATTTCGTCAATTTTTCTTAAAGAATAGGACATCTGATTTTCCAAGACTGAGCTGTTTCCATTTTATTAATTTTTTTTCAATAGTGCATCTTTAGCATCAAAAAGACGCCTTCAAGAAACCTTGCCAAACATAAAACTTACTTAAGTTAACTGCTAAGCTAACTTTCATATGAGAGAATGGTCGATAATGATCTGCGCCATTTTCATCTTTGTATACATAAAGAAGCATTGTAGACGCACACTAACATCTGTTTTTACATGGATGGCGGGAAGGTGCCTTCTTCAAATATCGGTCCATAAACGATTCAAAAACCAGGTTCTACAATATATGCAAGCCTTCACTTTGCCTTGTTTTGCACAAATATTAATCTTATACATAAACTGCATAATCTGACATGATAGAGTGCTTCATCGCCAGAGGGAAATTGTTTCTGGAAAGACCAACCAATGCCTAAAAAAGAAACGAACCTTAGGGTTATACAGGACGCAAAGAGAAAGTCCTACTTATTCTGGTTTAAAGGTGTTAGAAGTGTTATCTACGATGTAATTATTAGGTGAAAAGGTCTAGGTTCAAGTCTTTTGTGGACTTACGAAGACAAGTTGGCCTGTTTCTTTACACTGGGCGAATGATAATCTTTCAGGGTATGACGATTACCGTTATGGTACTGGTTGTGTTGGTGTTTTCGGCACCTGGTGTTATTTGCATGATCAGGTTACGAAAGAAGTTGAGATATACATACTTAGAATCAAGGCAAGCACAATAGTGATTAACACCACATCCAACTCTATTCTAACGCAATTGAAGGTGTTCAACCTTGACTATTGGCCTGATGATGACTCGTAAATATTATTTTAGCAAGAACAGAAAGTTTTTACATTATTTCTAATCTAATTTAATATGTTAATTACCTCCTTTAATTATTCATCTTTTGCTTTTTTCATTTCAAAGTGAATTCATCAAATAACTTTTTGGGCATTTAATTTGGTGTTTCTGAGTTCGAATATCTGTTAAGAAGCAAACTTTGTTTCGAAAGAGCTTTGAACTCTTTGCATATCATTGGAATGAAATTATAAGGTGACTTCTTTCAGGCTGGAATCACTGCAACTGTTAAAGTATGAGTATTCCAGCGGTGGAAATTATCTTAGAGATTACACTATGAGCAGAATCACCTTTGAATCGTAGCCCATGCAGATTGTTCACACTTCATTATCTGGCATTATATAGCATTTCTTAGAAGCATTGACAAATTTGTATTCTCTTTAAATTTTATTCCAAAGCTTTTTTCTAATTCTTTTTGTATAATGACTTTGCTGAAATGGGTAATATCCTAAGCTTCTTCCACCTACATAGGTATACTTAGCCGATTTACTTCGGGTTATGAAGAAATCAATTAAATGTGGGATTTTAGTACTACTTTGTAGGCTAATGCGTTGGGTTACCATATGACACATTTCAGTTCTTTGCTTGCTTGAAAAAGCTCTTTTTTTGTAGTAGTAGTTAACCTAGATCCTCATTGGTCATGTTTAGCAGTAAAGTTATCATCAAAGTTTATTTATGAAGTCTAAACATTGTTCTTTTTAGATCATGTCGAGGCGGACAATAAACTGTGGATACAATAATTTTATATGTTTTGGTTTTCACCTTATAGAGGCAGCTTGAAACTGTACTGTTGTGTATTCCATTTTTAGGATGATGCCTTCACTATGGTCCCCCTTAATACCCATTGGGTCCAACAAATCAACCTACTCCAGCAAAGCAAATAATTGTTTATAGATAATTTTCTTTGGCATCATCGACAGTATTGACACATTATTGGTCTAAGATCCTCATAGCTTTTCTGTAGACAATGCAATAACAATAGTTGTTTTCGAATAAAATTAAAAAACTAACATAATAATAATGAGATATTCCCACTTTCCTCAAACCATACCACAATCGCCTCGACACTTTACACCATGTAAACACTTTTCAATTTCTAAACTATACCTTTTTTCAAACCGTGTCATTTTCGTGGTTAACTTTCTTAGTTGTAGTTCGGCCAACCTAAACTTTTACAAGTTTTACTTTTAGAAGTGTCATCGATGCAATTAAGTTTAAGACGCGTTTTCTATCGACCTGCTAATTCTAAAATTTAAATTTTCATTTCCCACTGAACAGGACTATTCTACAAATAATATATTAAAAATTATATTTTTATCAAATTAAAGCTGACATTTTCATGTAATTCGTCCAGCTATGTAGTTTAATTCGCCATTCCTTTCGAGCCGCAAATAAACCATTTTTATTTTCAAAATACTATTTGAAAATGAACGAAAGTTTAATAGAAACTTGAGCGCAAACTTTTTTTAATAATCTGTTATTGAGACGTCGACCTTCGAAGTCAGATGTTCTATTTTATGTACCACCACCACTGCAACAGTTAAACGACGCTGAATTCCTTTCGGTTTTATTTTATTTTGTGAATTTTATTTTATTGTTAAATGTGTTGCTAGACTTTCTTTAAAAACAAACAATTTCTAGTTTCCATTGAGTGGGTTGCGTTATTAATAAAGACAAGAATGCTCGGTTGTTTTCTCTGGATGACAGCTGGTCATTAAATACCTCATTCGCAACTCGATCATGCGTGTCATATCAGCCGTTTAAGTGAACAGTCTACTGTTTGTTGGGGCGATCATCAAAAGAAATAAATCTCTTTAGAAGGGTCGCTGAATCGCTTTATATGTTGTAAATTTAAATAACGCGTTTGCTTTTTACTGACCCTCTTTAGGAGTACATTTAAAAATAGACGGTGTCTAAAAATTGCTGATAGTTTGGCTTGTGCCAGGTGTATTTTGTTAAACGTCGAAGACGTTACGCTTATCGAGCTTTAAGATCACAATGTTTCAACGAAGCATTTCTATTGCATAAGTGTCAGCAAATGCCATTGCTCATAAACATCACGTGCGAAAGTTAATTGTATTCAAAACAGCGGCGGTCGTTTCCTCTCTCGTTAAAGATACTGATGCGGTTGGAGGAGAAGTTAAGCGCGTCTTCCTCGAATTGCAAAGGTTGATAGCTTTTCAAAGCCGGCATTAATGGAATAGATAACTATGTAACTTAATACAAGCCTGTCATGGAAGAGTCATGGAAGCGAACGAACGCTCCTGAAATACGCTGGTCAGCGCATGCGACTTACCAATTCCACGTAAAGTTAGGTTCAGCCGTCATACGAGCGTCGCCATACAGTCGCCAACTATACTTCGGTCTTTACCGTTTTCAAAAATAGTTCGGGCTCCTACCAAAGAAAAACAGACAGAGAAGATATATTTATGGTGGGACGTTGTCGATTTGTAGTTTGCTTGTGGTGTATTTTGTGTTATTTTCAAAACGGTTCAACACCAACAAAAAAAAGTTTTCAAAATAAATACAAAAAAAACCGTTATTACAGTTTTTTCAGTATTTTGATCTCGCTGCTTAACAAAGAGTCATTGAAGGCGGCTGTAAACAAAAGTAAGTGTTCCTTTCTTTTTTAACCTCCTTTTTCATGTTGATAACAAGCAGATAACGCAACGAGATTACAACAAATATTGCGTACATTTATTATTGTTGCGTGAATTAACATTATTTTATGATATAACGGTTGATACTTTGTTTTTATACTTGAAAAACTATAAAACTTGAATTCTTTTTATTTATAGTGCGCTGCTCGTAAAGTTAAATGTGTTATACAACTGTTCTCCATGTGATAATAACTTTAATAACATGTAACATGCTTTAGCTTGGCATTGATTGTTGGGTCAAGGGCGACTATGTAATAAATATTAATTTACTATGTTTACTTATAGAAATTTATATTTATTCTATATAAATATGTTCTACCCATTTACATCTTATACTTGTTATTTTCCGCAAGTTTGAATATAAAAGTTTAAACCTTTCCAAAGAAACACCTGGAAGCAGGTTATAATTATAATTACACCTTTATGCCTCCGAGATGAAATGCATTTACCACTCCTTTTGATTTCTCTTTTATGCGCTCGTATTAACGTACAATTCATTACAACGATATCACGATAACAGCCAATTCATTTTTAAATTGGTTATAAATAGGAAGCGATAAATAACTCGCCTTTAATAGTTTAATAGCGTGAGTATGTGAATTTTTTAAATTACAGTCACACATTGATGTTATTATTGTATTTTCTCTTTACTAATTTAATTTGTGCGCCAGATATCCTGTGACGTTCTCCGGAGATTAATTTTAACTCGCGAGATGACGTGAAACTAACGGCCGGAAATTGAGAACAAAATTCGCGTTTACCAATAATATCACGCGGTTTAACTAATCTGTATGACGCCAACAGTTTTGCATGATAAAAATAGTACCGGAAGCGTCCCATTTAGGTTACCTTATCATAATTCCTCCGTTAGCGTTTGTTGTTTAGGTAAACGGTTATGGTAGGTTATATTTATGCATAAACCTTACGTGTTTTACGACATTTTGGCAGCTCCTGTTGACTGACCTTTCGCAGACCTTAAAACGAGATATGAACCATCGTCAACGATCCAAATCGAAAAACAAAACAATTTATGAGCGGTAAACGATTTCGAGTTCAACGCCAATGTCATGCACAAGTTCTGCTTTCCATTTGAATAAACACATGTATTAGATTATTGATGGTTGTTGAGGTTTATAATTGTCTTTAGAAGACGTCATATCGTGTGAGTCGTCCTTTGTGGGACAATTGAATACGTTAATATGATATATAACGTGACTCATGGTAATAATTGTCAGGTTACGTAGCATAAATTAGGGAAATTGTGGCTAATTTGCATTGGGAAATTTGTTTGATTGTAATATCACAACTGTTTTGCATGTCAGTTTTGGATGGTAATTTGGATTCAACCTAGATCTTACTTAAATATTTTTAGAGCTTCTTTAATATTTTTGGTTATTATTTGTTTTATTTTTCGATTTGATTTTCTAATCAACTTAAAATATGTTGAAACCACTCTTTTGTTGATCCAATTTTCAATCTCTTCTTTCTCCATCTTCCTTACAGAGTTTTATAATTCATAATTTCTTAAACATAACGTACATGACTTTATCTTAATTGTATCGACTCGATTAATGCACCTCATTGTAAAGTTATAATCTCCGTTTCTATTTCTACCAACTTCTACCGAGAGAGTACATATTGTGCTTGTCTTTCCATCTCATCATCATTTCTTTTCGTTTTCTGTATATAAATCCTGAATGACCTTTTTTGGGATTTTTATACTTCTGAGCAAACCTCTTCTAGTTGATCTCACAGACCTGAAAGTATCATCATGATACGATATAAGCAAATCAATCAATGCAATAGAATTAAAAATCGTCAATAGTTAGGCAGTATTCTTTATTTACTAAAGATTTCATCAAACGCATTAAAACTAGTGAAGCAATAGGTAAACTTGGATATTCGCTGTTGTAAAAATTAACTTATTATGCCAAATCTTGGGTACTTCATGGGAATGTATTGTTTTCAACTCAATAAATCCTTAAGTAGCATTATATTTTCGTCAATTGTTATATCCTGCTTAGGTATACATATATGCTAGTTGAAACTATTTATTGAGGCTGTTATAAACTGGTCATATCTTGTTTATGTATTATGTCTGGTTATTCGTAAAATGTTAATGTTTTTCATTAAGCGCATATGAGAAATCTTTTGATGTAGTCTACAATATCGGAATCATCACTTTTGTTTGATGTTGCTTTAAATGATTTTGGTTCACAATTATAAATCAATGAGAATCGCTGAGTTGTGTCTCAGGGACAGATAAATTCTCTCACCTATTGGATCTGAGTTAAAATATTTGGTTAAGTATTGACAAAAAATATTATGTTTCACTGTGTATTGTGGCAAAAGTGGACAAGTTTAACTGTTGAAGTTGTATCCGAAGAAGGTCGTAACACAGCATCCGAAACGTTAAACAATGTTTTAATATTTAGATTGTTATCCATGTTGCAAGTGAAAAATGATTGAACAATAAAAAAATTTTTGACTAAAACTTCTAACTTGCGTTTATTTACGCAAGTTACGAAAAATATAAATTGGTACCAGTTTCGAAGTTACAACATTATCTTCAGCCAAAAACTAAATGGAATTATCAAAATTAATTATAATAAGATGAATCTTGAAGATTCAAGTTTTAATCAAAAATTCATTGTTTAATGTATTAATAGATTCACACTTACAACTATTCAACTTTAAGGTTCATTATTATAAAGATTGTTATTTGTCACCTCTTCCTCTTCTCTTCCAGCACTACACTCTTTTGTGGACTTTGGCTTGTTTCAGAACAGGTTGTTATTTCGATCTGTCAGATGTCATACACTTCTACTTTCATACACTAAGCGTCCTAACGTTCTCCACATCATCGTTTCTTAGGTCTTTCTCTAGGTCTCTGTTCCTGTGATGTCTATTCTCATCAGTCGTCCGTCGCCCAGCATCTTTTCCAGATATTATCCTCGATATCTTCAGTGACATTATTCGTTTCATTTAGTGAATACCAAATATATTAAGCTGAGGTTGCATGCGTTTCTCCTTCGGAATCTTGCGGACTCCATACTTTTAAGGCTTCTTTTGTAAGTTGAGTAAATTTTTCCCTCAGTTCTCCTTTGCTGGGACTTAGGATCATTATATTATCTGCCTAGGCACATAGCTTTCGAGGTTTTAGTGTTGATCAAATTTTGCATTCCAAGGTTAATTACCTGACTCCGCAGTTTATTTCAAACAGTTCTGTTAGCTCTTCTACAACTTCTTGATTTTGACAGTTGTTTTCGATCCAGTTAGCGTGATATTAATTAAACTTGTTAGCTTCTGCGAGTTGGCACCTCGGTAGGTTCTCACATCAAAAGTTGATCGATTTGGCTGTATTTATCCGAACCTGGGATTGTTCATGTTACCTTGTGGATTTTTTATGTGAAAAACAGGTGATGATGATTTTGAGGTTATTGTGTCGACCATTGTCATTAGTTTTATCGATGAGACTTTGTTTATCACATCTGGGTATATATCCTCCTTTCCGAGTTGAATTTGAGAAGATTCTAATATCCCTCATAACAAATATGCAGTTACTTTTTCGTATGACTTCCTAAACAATTTGGAGCTCTTCAAAGATCTGCTCCACTATTGCCTCTTGGTTTTTTTCAGTTGGAGCATATATATTTATAAATGTTTGTTGTGGAAATTACCGTTAACACATAATTTTCAGATTCTATCAATTGGCAGAAAGCCATATCGATTTGTAAATTTTGTTATTCACTTAAAACCATAATATCATTGCTGTTCCATTCCACTATGGAAAAACGTGTAACATCTTTGTTGAATTGACTTACACCTTATCATATTTACTCATTTTTTCCGCTACATTTTGCATCTCACCTGCCTGCAATAATTTATATCATGTATTATATCTATTTTCTTAGCGTGTCATCTTTCAGTAATCAGTCCTCACCTATATTTATTAACTTACTTCATTATAAAAAACTTTGTTTCAAATATCAAAATTGTTGTTCAAATTCAAATATCAAAGTTTATGACTTATGACACTAATTATATCTCTACGAGGAACAAGCTTGTACAATGGAATCATCGTTCATGACACAAAAGTTATTATTGTTGATTGTTTGCAAAGTCTTTCACTATTACATGCTCTTAAGTGAGGATTGTAGTTCCCCATCAATATGTATCAACGTTACATGCGTAGTTCTTCGTAATCATACACATTTAATTAAACATCCTGTGGGGTATATCCAGCCTGTATAATGGCATTTGCTACAGATAGTCTAAAACATATAAGGTTTTTGTTTACAACGGCATGACTGTATCGAGAATTTGATGTTATTTCCATTACAATTCTGTTCAACAACTATATTTTGTTCTTAAATGTTTAGAAAGTGAAACATAGCACTTTCAGACACAAATTGAATTCTAAAGTGACGTTTTGTTCATAGAGAATAACTTCTTAGAAATAGAATTTCTATCCATCTTTTACTTAATTGTTCAAGAAATTAAAATACAGAATAGAAATGTAAGTTTTGTCCGCGCAACAAAACCATTATTAAAAAGTCGTTTCGGAGCAAAATAGGCAATTCTTTAAGTTGTTAAAGAAATTCTTTAAATATTTCTTAGTCTACTTATTCATTATCGAGCGGTGATTCATCAAAAATGTTAAAAAAAATGTCATCGCTTCGCAAAGACAAAATATAATGAGTTCACTTTTCCAATTTAAAATTTTCTAATATTGTATTTCTTTATTTTATTGTGGGATTTAGTTCACCTATAATTATTTCTATAGGTCACTTTGACTTTGCTAATAACAATGGCTATGTAATTTCCTAGAATATGAAGCAACGTAATATTTCAACGAATAATTTATAGTACTATTATTCATGATTCGGTTCTATATTTAGCCTGGGGATTCTTTTACACGCATTTTGTCCCGCATGACATAAAAGTTTT